TGCGAGACATATGTCTAATGAAATTGTACTTGACCTTGTATGACTGCACTATGTCAAATAAAATTCCAATGAACAAATACCCCAAGCAAAAATAACACACACAGGTTCTAAATTGCACATGTTTACATCGCAGCAGTAGTTTCCCAAAAGTACTACTAGATTTAAAGAAAAAACAAAAAAACTCCCAAGCCTATGTTAGCGGTACATGTGTAAATTGCACTTAAATTTGAGAAACATACACATCAGCTCTCCAAGATATAATGCCTGACAAACTGGAAAAAAATGTGAATTTGTGAAATCGGATTAATTCAGAAAAACAGAAAGACCACAAAAAAAATTGAAATTCAGCAGACTAGAGAGTTGTAACGCAGTAGTAGAATGCATGCCACACGGACCTTGGACTGAGACCTTATACTGTAGAACTACATTCGGATTCTAGCAAACTATTTATCTGACAGTCTGATCATCTCATATATTGGTTCTTATTTACTTACTTACTTACTTAATAAAAGTATTCATGTACCACCATCTCATAAAACATCAGGATAGTGTAAAGCTGTATAAAAACTTTTTTTTAAAAAAAACACCTCAACCCTGACACATTACGAAACTATGTGACTTGCAAAATAAAATCCCAGGTGATGAAGTTGGATAAAGAAAACAAGTTCACTGATACCTAAATAACATATTCTGACTAGCATAGTTCATATATTCAGAGAGCAATATGGGAATCACTCCAAAAGCTATCCCATACATGTGTTATATTGGAACTGGCCCTTATACACCATATGATATCAAGATCCCTCATAACTATCTGTTTTAACTATTAAGTAATTTGAAGCACAATCATGTTCACATATTTTCAGAGTACCAATGACACCACAGTTTACATTACCTTAAACATGTCTATGAAAAGATGAGCTGACTGAAATAAGTACAAAAACATTACTTATTTTAGGGCTGTATGCCTGAGCCTGGCTTCTAATTCCTGGATCCAGTACAGATTCAATGGGTGGAATAGCCAGGCTATAATGACCCACTAAATATGGGTCCCAAGGTAACAAAATGAGTGGCTTTGTGCCAGAGAGCAAATGAGTGGCCCTCCCTCCCTCAACTGTTTAGCTAGAAAGGCAAAGGAAGAGAGCAGAAAGTTGCAGTGCTGTGAGCTAGAAGTAAAGCAGTAAGCTGGAGACAGAGAGCAATGTTTGAGAGCAATGGTTTCTATTTGGCTCAAAGGCTGTGGCTATGGGAGAAAGATCACCCTTTTGAGGTGTTGATGCCGTCATAGGCTCAGGTTGCATATATGTGCAAATAAACCATTTATCATAATGACACCACAGTCTCTGCTGCGTCTCATTTCCAAAAGGATGCAGAAACCATTGGTGAGCGCCTGAAATCTTGTACAGCTCGGAGATTGGCATGGCGTGCAATATTATTAATAAAATAAAGCAAACTGCCTTGTTTAAAATATGCATGTGTTATTATATATATTATATAAACAACTGTCTCTTAAGAATCAGCTGCAATTCATAAAAGTTGAAAACAACTGAACAAATACCAAGGACCTTCTAGTCAGGTGTAAGAGAGGATTTAAGTTAGCAAACAAATTATCTGCCAGATGGTAAGGTCATTTCATGCTATTCAAATTATACTTGTCAATAGCTTAAGAGAGAGCAATTTCTGTGATATGCTCCACTTATACCAGACAGTTTCCAAAAGCTTAGGATAAGCTTACGTTCACCTTTTGAATGCGGATGTGCCATATATTTAAGCCCCTATTTCAAACTGCTTGTGTGCCTACACATTAGTCATTTCCCCCCAAGGATGGTTCCACCTAGTCACTATCGACAAAAACCTGTAGCATCCTTACGAAATGTATCAGGCAGGCATCACTTGGGGAACTGCTGGCAAAGCCGTCTATGCCAAGAAACAAGCTGTGGCAAGCCGGCAAATTACCAACAGGCCAACCAGTAATGAGGATTAGCAGTACTTAAATAAAAAAAAGTCCCTCATTTCTTGTTTTCTCAGCACTTCACTAGGCATAAAATGCCCAACAAAGCCAACTGTGACTTAATATAGCTGTGAGTCTTATAAAAAAGAGGCCATTTTACTGATATAAAGCCTCCCGTAGCATATTAAATTAGGCAGAAAACTAATTCTGACAAGAGACAGACAAGCTTCTGGATGACCATCCTGGAACATAGTGCTGAGTTTCTACTGTGAGGAATGCCCAAGTACAGTAATTGACAGCAATTCTTGCTGAGTAATGAGGATATTGCAAGATACATGTATTTTGATGCAACACATTCTCACAGTAATTTATGTCAGCTTGCAATGAAACATTGTGCAGACATACTTTAAAAAGCTAGTAGATTAAATTAGGATAAAAGGCAAGTGTCCTGGTGCAGCAACACAGTAGACTGCTATAGGAAAGAATATGAGCAAATTCAAGTATAACAAACAAATCCAAGCAAAATTAACTACCCTAGCAAAATATAACAGTGGTTTTCAAATGTTGTTTTTTTTCTGGGCCACGCTGTCAGAATAACATTTTTAGAGGTAAACTCTGATTTGTTATTGATAAGAAATAAATTGGAAAGCAAAAAGAAACAACTTCTAGCAGTGCTTGATTTACAACATAGAACAAAAATACTTTATAATATTATTATGGGACATCCAGAAAGTATAAAACAATGCAGCTACATAAGAATATGAATCATTCCCAAAATATCCATATTCTGCTGATAAAAAAATTATACTATACTACACTACACCAAAACAGTTGATGCTTCTTTGATGGTCCTTGAATATTCCCACCACACTTGCCATCATCTCCTGCCATACTCCTGCACACCACACCCTTTAAGAACCACTGTTCTAGAACTTTTAAGGTATGCCAAGGGTTAAGCCTTAGCTCTGCGTGTGCAAAACTCATGCTCTACCACTAAATTATAGGCTCTTAGTTCAAGCAATAAGTTTCTGCCCTTTAACTCTTATTTCTCCAGGTCTCTTTTTTACTTGGTTTTGCTCCCATCTACCAATACATATATAGATAGTAGCCATTAAACCTTTTATTTACGGTGGCAAAATTTCCTATCTTCATAACACCTACTTAGTAGATCTTGGGTGTTGTTGATGGGTCCCCCCCCGTTTGTACTGCTGAAATGTTTTGGGCTCTATTGCCACTCAGATGGTTTTGAGACAAATCATGCTTCCCCAAAGAGCGCTGAAAAGAGTTTGGCTCTACATCACTTGCTTTGTACATGATAAGGATTATATGTTCATGATTACATATGTCGGCAGCAATAGATCTATCCGGTCTTTCACTTTTCCTGTGATTGCTGTTTAGTGCTTGTCTCTCATAGGTGACAAAGTACATCACCATAGCACTACAACTTTAAATGTTGGGAGAATCAACACCCTTCATTTTCCTAGAGTCTGCAAGTGGATTGTTAGCTCCTCCTTTTTTCCAGTGCTACCAAGCAAAGTTTTTGCCACAACATTACCGCATCCACTTCACTGCTTCTTAGGTGAAATAAACTGCAATATTTTATTTTTTTTAAAGAGACGATAGTCCTGAAAGTGCCTTCTTTCTGAAGCACCTCTGAAAGCTGAAAAAATAAAGCACAACATTCTAACCTTAACACAGTGGATTTCTGTTAGGGCTGTCACTCGATTAAAGAAATATTAATTGGTAAGTTAGATAAAAGATGTACAGAGCAATTCTAACTGGGGCCAGGAATGATAAGAACAGTGAAGTCAGCACAGCAGCTGAATACTGTCAGTTCTACTGGCCAGTGTGCGGGATGCTTTTATTTTATTTTTCTACCTATCAACAACTGTAGACCTATCAGTTCAACAGTGAAACAGACTCCCACGTGAGGTTCTGGGTGCTCTTTCTTTGGAGGTTTTTAAAACAGTGGATGGATGGCCATTATTTAGCTGAGATTCCTGCATTGTGTAGGGGGTTGGACTGGATGACCCCCAGGGTCCCTTCCAACTTTATAATTCTATTATTCTATACTCCAGGTTCAAATTCCTTTCCTTTTCATGCATTCAATTTGCAGTTGCCAGAGTAAAAAGGAGGAAGATCTAATCACATCTTTTAAAAATTGCTCTCAGACTTACTAATTTTGCTTTCACCAAATTAACCTCATACAGTTTAATGCAGTGTTGGCCAAACTTGGCCCTCCAGCTGTTATGGGACTACAACACCCATCATCCCTAGCTTACAGGACCAGGGGTCAGGGATGATGGGAGTTGTAGTCCCCAAACATCGGGAGAGCCAAGTTTGGCCATTCCTGGTTTAATGTAACCGTGGCTATGGGAGACCGGTAATGTTGCACAACCTTGTGAAGTTGACCAATAATGTTGCACAACCTTATGAAAGCCATTCTTGAGTGGCAGGGACCCTGTGTAATGATGTTCAATGTAGTTCAATAGATTTCAACCAATGGGGAGAAATCAAAGGGCCCATCTCTTGCATCAACAGAGGTGGCTTCCACTTGCACTATTGCTCTGTTGGATTCAAACCAGCAGCCTGCACCTAAGCCATAACATTCACTTTTGCTTCAAATTACTGCTATATTTTAAGTCTCTTTCTCAGTTTTTCCTTAAACAAAAATTTGAACACCTGTAGAAGTCTATCATGTCATAGAATTAAATTCAGTGGGGTTTCCCCCCCTGTTATATTTATTACACAGCAGATGATAGATCAGCATCTCCTGCATGGGGGACATCACTATCTAGGCAAAAGTGTAAAATACATCATGCATTCAGAAGGGTAGGATAATCCAATAATTGTATGACCTGCAGTGATATCATGGCAACGATGTTCCACACTTATGGAATTTATTTCCCTAGCGGCAAGGAGGAGGCTACTAGAACCATTTATGTTTTAATCCCTCCTTTGTTGACACCTGAAGCCAACCCTTTCTTTCCCAAGCAACAAGGTAACAGTGAACTATAAAAACAAGTCCTTGCAAAATTAGGCTGATATGTCAATCATAGAAGAACTGGTTGCTCTGCATAATTCTATCAAAACAAGTCTTCACCACCTCCATGGAACTGCAGCCCAAAAATTTAATACCTGAAACAGGAGCAAGGTCACTTACATAAAGCCAGAGTCTGTTGCAGTTGAACAGGAACTGGTGCTTAACAAGACATATCAATGGTCTGTCAAACCCCCTACTGCCAACCACGGATTCTGTGCTGATAGTAGCCCTCCAGGGTTTCAGGCAGATGAGACTTTCCACCAGGCTGCCTGAGATCATTTAACTGAGAATTTCATAGTTTGATTCTGGGTGTGTAACCACCACACAAATTCTGCCTCCTTCTGCTTATAGTTGGTATGGAGAATAGTAAATGGCTGAAAACACACTACAGGCGCATGTGTCTCATAGGCAAGGTAAAATATTAGGTGTCAATCTTGCTTACTGTCAGGAAGGAAAAGACAAAACAGCAAAAGGACCCTTTCAGGGAAGTGGAGGAATACAAGAAAAAGTGGGTGGAATAGTAGGAACAAGAAGTTCAAGTAAATTGAAAGAACTGGGAGGAAAAGAGGAACTCAGCAATAAATCTGAACATTTGATATTTCTACTTTTGGGGAATTGAATTGAGACTCACTGTTCTCTGGATGAGGGCCAGAGCATTTTCATAACGAATCTGTACCCGTAAATCAGATTCAGTCACTGGGTGGGATCTAAAGTTAGTTGCAAACAGTTCCCATTGAAATCAATTTGACTTAAGTTAGCCATGCCTAATCATGAGTATTTATTTCCATGGGAGCTCAGTGCAACTTAGTCTGGATACCCCCCCCCATTGTTCATGCTAACTTTCTTGCATTTCTCACTCAGTAGCATTAGAGTTCCAGTCACTTTCACCACAACAAAACAATATTTAGGGAGATATTTGTTCAAGCAAGCAAGCAAGCAAGCAAGCAAGCAAGCAAGCAAACAAGCAAACCTATTTCAAACTAGGGAAGTGATTAATTTGTCACATCAGTATTTGGATGAGATGCATTTCAACTGGAGCATAGAGAAATTGTGTAACTAATTTAACTGGAGGTGCCAGAACAGTGAGGGGTAGCTCTGTCTAACATATGATCTACCTCTATGAAGGGAAATAAAACACCTAACTGGGTTTTATTTGAAAACACAAACAGCATTGAAAGAACGCTCCCTCCCCCCCCCCCCATTTACCGGTAAGCCCCATTGGGTACATTACTCCTATTTACCGGTAAGCCCCATTGGGTACAAGCAGGTCTTTTTAGTACAGAGCCTAGGGTATGTTTTTTTTTGTGCTGTACCCAAATAATGAAAGCAAAAGTACTTTCAGAAGAGGAGTTCGGTGCGAAAGAAAAAATAAAATACCTAACCCATTATGATCTTTGCTGGTTTCTACATCACACTCATACAGTGAGCCACCAGACACCACCTTTCTGTCAGAATAGTGTTTTTGCAGAGGATTTGTACTGGAATACCCATATAACTAGCTACATTAGTTCCCAGTTCACATATAAATATTCATTATTATATTATACAATTTGAACTTCTCAGAATCTAGAATAAATCAGCCTTGCAGCAACCAGTAGGTAGATTTAAAATCAAATAAATATAATAATTCAAAAGATAATACATGGTGACTACATGGCAACATTTTAATTTATCACCTCAGATACCGTTTTCAAAAAACAACTGTTTCTCACAGAATTCTACTAGAATTGCAGTTTGTAGCTGCTTGGTCTCTCTCTTCTTTTTAAGATGTTCACTTAAAATCAAGGAAAGAATAAACAAGCAAAATATTTCAAGAAAGTAATAGTCCAATTGTGTGCCAAACTTTTGGATGTGTTTTGGCTTCAGAAGTATTATGTACCTTCAGTAACTTCCTCATAAATTAACTACATTTTTAATTAATGTAGTAATATGTGTTTCATGTAGCTCTCTGTGATGAAATATTTTAAATTTTTCTCTGCCTTTTAGCACGGGGCAAGCTTCAGCTTGACAAAGCTTCAGATCAAGTAGCCAATAAGTTTATTAAGGTTATTCAGTTTCAATATGATTTAATGTACCTGATGGTTTTATGAAAAGCAAGAATTATGCCAACTCACTTATTGGGCTCAAATGTTGCCGATATGCTGATATTTAACATTTCCTGTCAGTTTTCATTTTACTTTTAAAGTTTATGTTGAAGGTGTAACAAATATCCAATGGTCCAAGAACTGATGTTTCAGTATCTAAATGCTTACAACACCTTAGCGATTCATGAACTAAAACACTGCAGTGGTATGACAGGCTGCAATCCTATGCAACTTTCAGAATACAGTGGAATTTACTTGAGAATAAACATTTCTAGAAATGTGCTCTAAGAATATGTTGTAGACAGATACATGAGTAGAGGATCAGGCAGTGTTAGAAATGTGCCAGGTGCATTTTGCAATTGGTACAGGTCCAATTGTGACCACAATCTCTGGATGCCAGGCTGGTGACTGGGCAAAGCAAAATATCCCTTAGAGAAGGGTCTGAAATATCTTCCTTGAAGCTTGAATTTGCTTTATTCTGGATTATTTTATTTGATGATTTAATGTGTTGTAAACAACTATGAGATTTGTTATTTAAAATATAAAGTGGTATAGAAACGATGATAATGATAATAAATCCAATTGAAAAGAAATGGTGCCTAGACATTCCACTGTGGCAACCACAACCTAGGTTTAAGGTGCCATTTGGAGATTAGCTTTTATATGTGAGTTTCTAACCCTGGGATCAGGGTGACAGGATCTCATGATTTTTGTAAACATGAAGGACAGCTGATGAGGCAAATACACCTTTGTGTGTTCCACTCTACATATGTGCACTGTGATACCTGATTTGGACAAAGATCCTTTGTATATTTAGAAAAAAAGGTGTGTGTGTGTGTGTGTGCGCGCGCGCAATGGTCACACCTAATCAAAGACTTCATGCTCCACCCCACCCCCCAATATGGGAATGTTTTCCATGTAAAAATTAACCTGTCTGACATAGCCCTTGTTTTGGGCCTGCATGAAGATGTTTAGGTCAATGGGGCAAACCTATGGATACAAGCAGAGAAAGCCAAATACATTGAGATCAATAGATTTGTGTACAGTGGTACCTCGGGTTAAGTACTTAATTCGTTACGGAGGTCCGTTTTTAACCTGAAACTGTTCTTAACCTGAAGCACCACTTTAGCTAATGGGGCCTGCTGCTGCCGCCATGCCGCCAGAGCACGATTTCTGTTCTCATCCTGAAGCAAAGTTCTTAACCCGAGGTACTATTTCTGGGTTAGCGGAGTCTGTAACCTGAAGCGTATGTAACCTGAAGCGTATGTAACCCGAGGTACCACTGTACAATAGTTAAGTGATAATGTTGGAACCTTAGCATGTTTAGCTTTCTTTGGATAGCAATGGGAATCCAGATGATATGCTTCCTGTCCACCCACTGAAATCTTCAGAATTATTATAGTGTGAACACTAATAAACAGCTCCTTCCTGTCTTATTACCCCAAGCAGAGGCATCTGAGGTTTGTTTTATGACCTACTCTTCATCTTCTGACATTAGATAAGAAGCTACTTTTCTCTATCAGTTGATTCAGCTTGTTGATGGCTCTGTGATTGTCACCCAAATATAAGCCACTGCAAGCCCAGAGAATGGAGTGTATTATCTCTGGAAATCTTTAACTAGCGGGGAAGTAACAATTACGTGCTAACCACAATTAGTCACTTCTAAAGTTGGGCATGAAACCTAAGTCAGTTGTCAAGTGGAATATAGCATGGTTGTTAGCACCACTTTCACTAGTCCAGCAAATATGAGGAGCACACTGAATTTGGGTGTGACTTGTGCCACTGATCTCAGTATGGCCATTCAATCCCAAAGCGCTACATTCTAATTAGGTGTTGATAGAACCAGACTAATTTGAGTAACGTTCCAGGACAAAGCAGCCAGAGAGAAACACCTCCCAAAACGTTATTTGCACATGCTGAAGCCATTTCTCCCAAAAGTGAAAAGACTATCTGGAGTGAAAAGCATTACTAACAAGATCCTGTTCACAATGGGTCTCAAAAGGTCAACAAGAGTTGCAGCTGCCCAGGAGACCTGCAATAAAGACAGTGTGGAGAGGGACTGCAAAAGGCTAGGCACTGCATTATTGATGCACAGTATGGGCTTCGATTTATAAAGAGTTAAGTCCACAGTTTAAAATGAAAGCCGAGCTTAAGGGCCAAGTTTTTGTCCAGGAGCTTTTTTAAAGGGTTATTCAAAATACCAATGTAGGGAATGAGCCTTCAAATAAAAATTTGCAACTTGTAAGCATATCATCAAAATCACTGAATCATTTAAAAGCATAGCACTTTAAGACAATAAATGCTTGCTAGCATATAGAACACACACACACACACACACACACAGGCATATTATACTTGGCTATTTAAACAGCACACAAACTGCCTTGCTGAATCACACCAAAGACAATTTTCTCCCTAACACTAAGCAGCCAGATGTCCCCAGGAAACTCATAAACACGGCGCGAAGGAGATAATCATCTCCTGACATTTGTCCCCTGCACCTGGTAATCACATCTGTCATTTCTAAGAACGCTTCTACCATTTCTTACCAACTCCTAACCTTGGATCAGAGTGCAGACTTTACTGAAACTACATTCAAAGCCAATTTCGTGTAACCATTGCAATTCAAACCTATAACTTCAAACTGATCTGCTGGTAACAAGCCTCAGAAGCAAATACAACTGATGGAGCAGGTCTTGCCCATGAAATCATATGTAAAAATACAAGTATTAAGACACAATCCAGCATGGATTAAGCACTTTTAAATCCCATTTATTTCAACAGAAGTGTGTTCGCTGCACATGGAAAAAAGAGATATCAAAATGTGCTTAAACTTGGCACAAGTATGGTTAACTTTTTAAGTGCCATTGCACTTTATTTTCCTGCAACAGGCGATCAAGACTACTCTTCCAAAAAAATGTCCTTCAAGATCCAATATTGCCTCAGAATATTTCTAGAGGCCCATTTAATTCTGAATGTGAACCATCGTCTTCTTTTCTCTGCTTCAGATCTAGTGGTGCATTGTTCCCACAGCAGCACCAGTCTAATCCTCACTAATATAGCAAATGCATTTAGATTCACTTTGGCTAAGCAGAATCTGCTGTGTTAATCATCAAACAGGATGCTATGGAATTTGGCCTTGAAGTATTATCCTCTTACTAAGATGTGTTTGGAAAGAATGGCAACAGATGTACAAAAGGAATTGATTCTGGCGAGTCTTCTGTTTTGCTTTCGTATTTTGACAACTAATAATAAGTATGACCATTAATATTTACAAATTTGGCTACTAAAATGCTAAGAATGCAAAAGAAATTCATACATTTTTCATATCTTTGTGTAATACCCCACTGTGATTTTACAATGTAAGAGACATTTTTTATGCAATATTAAGACACATTAATCTTAAAACACATTAATCTTCATATATATATATAATATCCAAACACAGGCAGACATCTCTTGTTAGAGAAGTCGGTGAAGCTTCCTCTTACTACTAATTTAACTACAGCCTTCTTTTGACTACAGCCTTGAACATATATCAAAAACTGTAACTAGGTTTAAATTAATTACCAGTATTATGCTCAACATTCAAATAGCTTAATCCTACCCAGCAGCAAGAATGCAGACACATTTAAGTTTTCTTCCTAAACAGAAATGTTTCTGTGGATCAAAATAAGATTGGTTAAATTCCACTACAAAGTAATGTCAGGGCAAAGCACACAGCTTTTCAAGTTTCCATGGCTGCTCTCCAAAAATTTACCCTCCCCCCTCAAAAGAAGTCTCAGGGTATCAAAGAGGCACAAACAGGCACAAAGTCCACACTTGCCTATGCCAACATATTTGGCCACTAAACAACTTTCAGCCACCATTTGTAGCTACTATCTGTAGTCAACCAAAATTAAAAACAAACAACATGATTCCTTACCTGAAACCGACACTTTCATTATGGCTTCCAAGGGTCTGTTGTTGTCCAAGTCACGGCTAAGCTTAAGTTCTCCAGTAGCAGAGTCCAAAAGCAGCAGATTTAACTCATTGCCCTGGACAAAGGTGTAATCAAGTTGGTCCGATATATCAGGATCATGAGCAGGGATCTTGCCAATCACTCCAGAAGGGAAGCTATTAGATTTATTGGTGACATAGTTGTTGAAAAGGATCTGGAAGTCTTGCAGCACAGGAGGGTTGTCATTCTGATCTTGAAGGCGTATGTGTACGGTAGCTCGGCTCACAAGTGGGGCTGAGGTAGCTTGCACCACAATTACATACTCTGTCTGGCTCTCATAATCTAGATCCATCAGGGCTGTGAGATCACCATTAAGAAGGTCAAGCTGGAAGACCTCAGGGATGTTCCCTTCCACGATCTGATACATGATTTGTGCATTGGTTCCCTCATCGGGGTCTACAGCACTGATTCGGGCTACAATGGAACCCACTGGGCTATTCTCCTCCACAAAAATGTCAAATTCATCTTGCTGAAATACAGGTGGATTATCGTTGATATCCAGCACAGTAACCTGGATATCCACAGAGGCTTTGAGGGGTGGGCTGCCCCTATCCACAGCAAAAGCCCTCAGGCTGTAGACAGCCACATTTTCGCGGTCTAGCTTGCGCAGTGTCCGTATCACCCCTGATGTGGCCTCAATGTAAAAATCACCATCACCATCATCACCACCCTGGAAGGTATAAAGGATTCGGCCATTAGGGCCAGAGTCACGGTCAGTGGCAGACACCTGCAAGACACTGGTGGAGAGGGGCACATCTTCGAAGACAGCACCCTGGTAGCGGTCACGAAGGAAACGGGGCGTATTGTCATTCGAATCCAAAATGAGGATCTCCACATAAGTGGTGTCAGATTTCTGAGGGATCCCGTTGTCCTGGGCTGTGATGGCCAGTGTGTAAGAGGCTTGGTCCTCATAGTCTAGCTCCATCAAAGTTGTGATTGTGCCCGTGTCAGGGTCGATGCGAAATTGAGGGATGTTATCCTCCAGGATGTAAGTGATCCTAGCATTCTCCCCAGTATCCTCATCAGTGGCACTGATAGTTACAATGGGTGTGCCAATGGGCTTGTCTTCACTGACACTCACAGTATAGTGGGAACTTTGGAAAACTGGTCGGTGCGTGTTGGCATCTGTGACATTGATGAAGACTTGGACAGTGTCAAATAGAGTTCCATCGGAAGCAGTGACAGTCAGCACATACTGCCTCTCTTGCTTGTAATCCAGCGGCAAGGCCAGAGTGATCAGCCCACCTGCACTCTGACTAGTGATAGCAAAGCGGTTCCTTGTGTTGCCACTAGTGATCTGGTAGGTCACCACACTGTTGACATCCTTGTCCACCGCTGTCAGTGTCAAGACACTGCTGCCTACTGTTGCGTCCTCATTAAGCCTGAGCTGGTAAACTTTTTCAGTGAAAGTAGGGCTGTTATCATTGACATCGAGGACGGTGATGGACACACTGGCTGAGGAAGTCATGACAGGGACGCCATTGTCCCTGGCCTCCACCCCAAAGTGGTAGTTCTCGACAGTCTCCCGGTCAAGCTCAGCTGACACTGTAATCCACCCGGTGCTATTGTTGATCTGGAATGGGAAGCCCATGTCCCCACCTGGAGACACCGGTGCAGAAGGGTGAGGCAGCTCAATGAGTTTGTATTCCAAGCGGGCATTATCCCCAGAGTCAGCATCTACTGCCTGAATGTGTAACACTGAGTAACCCAGAGGGACGTTCTCTAGCACAGTGGCTTGAAAAGGGGTGCTTACAAAAATGGGGGCATTATCATTGACGTCCAGAACTTGAATGGACACCATCCCACTAGAATTTATCTGTGGAGGCCGCCCGGCATCCTGGGCCTTGATCCTCAGTGTGTATTCTCGGATAGTCTCGTAGTCCAGGGGGTTGATCAAGTCAATGGAACCGGAAAAAGAATGGATGTAAAACTGTCCCTTGAGGTTCCCGCTCACGATGCTGTAGTGCACCTGGGCGTTGTTCCCGCGGTCTCGGTCTGTAGCTTGCACCTGCAGCACTTGGCTATTTACCGGGGCGTCCTCTGGGATTTGCACCAAGTAGCGTTTCTCGCTAAACTGCGGCGAGTTGTCATTCTCGTCCTCGACTGTGATATGCACCGTGACTGTGGCGCTTCGAGGACCGGGCTCTTTACCTTGGTCGTTGGCTTCGACCACAAGATGATATTCAGAGACCTCCTCTCGGTCCACAGGGGCACAGGTCCTCACGACACCAGAGTGAGGGTCAATCTCAAAGACTCCCTCCCCAGCACCCGGTTCCAGGATACGATAGAGCAGATTAGCGTTGTCCGGGGCATCCTCGTCCGTCGCGCGAATCGTCAGCACCTCGTAGCCCACCTCCAGGTTCTCCCGAATGTTCTCCCGGTACTCCGGCTGCTCGAACACTGGGCCGTGGTCGTTGGTGTCACTCACCGTCACTGTCAGGAAGGTGACGGCCGAGCGGTGCCGCGGCACGCCGTGGTCCGCCGCAATCACTTGAAGCACGTGGGTGTCCTTCGTCTCGCGGTCCAGGCTGCGGGTGGTGACCACCATGCCCGTGTCGGCATCAATGGCGAAGTAGTCATCGGAGCGCTTGTCGAAGAACGCTTCCATGGAGTATGTCAGGCGGCCCGCCTCACCCTCATCCGGGTCGTGGGCTTCCAAGGTGATGACGGCCGTGCCCGCCGGCTGGTTCTCCGCAATGGACACCTGGTAGTTGGGCAGCTTGAACTGCGGAGGGTAGTTGGCGCTCCTCAGCGTCCGTTGTGGCGGTGATGGCGCACCCCGGGGCCAAGAACCCCGGCCGCCCTCCCTCCCCATTTGCCATTCCTGAGAGGCCGCCCGCCTCTTCCTACCCAACCTGTGCTGCCCACCTGCTGCCCACTCCCTTCCCTCAAAATGGCGCCCACCAAACTCGACCAGGACCTCCCCGGGGGCCCTGGTCACGTGACAAAGAAGCCTGAGGCTTTTCCCGCCTTTTCCCTCAGGGCTTCTGAGGGGAGGTCCGTCGAGGCACCGGCAGCGCGGGAAACTCGTCAAGGCCCGCAGCGCCTCCAGGAGCGGCGTCTCCTCTTCCTCTGTCCCCTCCTGAGGCTCCGGGGCGGCGGGGCAGCGAGGCCGGCCGCGCAGCCTCCGCCTCAGCGCGGGGTCCGCGTCGGGGAGGGACAGGTGCGCGGGGGCTCCCGCCCGTCGGCCACTGAGGCAGCCGGGCCCGTGCAGGTAGGCCGCCAGTCGCAGCGTGAGGGAAACGCCGCCTGCGCGGGAAACCAAGCGCAGGCGCAGAGGCAGCGGGTTGGGCGCCCCGCCGTCGCCGCCGCACCGCGCGGGCACCGCGGTCCTCCTCAGCAGCCCGCCGGGCGTCACCTCCACGGCTTCCCTCAGCGCGCGCGGCGTGCGAGCCTCGTCCAGCGCGTAGAGCCACCCGGGCCCCACGGACACGTCCAGCAGCGGGGCCCCGGCGGCGGCTTCGTCGACGTGCAGCTCCCAAGCGGCGGCGGCGGCCGCGGGGCCCAGCAGCGCGAGCCACGGCAGCCAGGCGGCCACGGGCGAGCGGCGCGGCATCTCCAGGGCGGCCGCGGGGCGACAAAATCCATCCACCCGGCCGCGCTGCTGCTCATCCGGCGGCCGCGGCGGCGTCCATGAGCGCCGGCTTAGGTGCCCCCTCAGGAGGGCAAACTTCCCTTTTTATATAAAGTTCAAAATGGCTCCCCGTATCCCGCCACCGGAGGTGAACCTGCCCCTCTCGCCTCAGCCCGGGCGGCGGCTCCTTTCAGCAGCTGCCCCGAAGCATCGCTCCCTCAGGCGCCCGGGACTCGGGGACAGGATTCCGCCGCCAGTGCCCTGGCGGATCCCAGTCCGTCGATCTCCTCCACTTCTCGCCCCTTTTCACCGAGCCATCGCAGACTTTCAATCCCCGGCGACGGGGAAAAAAGCCTTTCGCAACCGTCCGGGGTAAGTTTGGCTCCGGCACGTGCGCTGGGGAAAAGTTCGCCGCCGGGCTCTGGATCTCCGCTTCTCCGCCTCCGCTGCTGATTCCTCCACCGGAGATCTCTATGGAGATCGGTCGCTGCAAAAGCCGCCCCCGAGGAAGCAGGCAGGCGTCGGTGCCCGAGGAGGAGTTTCCTGCCTTTGCGCGATCTCCTCTTCTCCTCGCCCCTTTTCACCGAGCCATCGCAGCCTCCCTTCCCCCGCGGCAGATCCCCGGCGACGGATCCGTCCGGGGTAAGTTTGGCTTCCCGGCACGTGCGCTCGGGAGAAAGTTCGCCGCCCGGGCTCTGGATTTCCGCCTCTCCTGTCGCAGCTGATTCCTCCCCACCGGAGAGCTCTAGGGAGATGGGCCGCTGCAAAAGCCGCCCGCGAGCAGGAGGAGGCAGGCGATCGGACGGGCAGGCAGCCGTCGGTGCCCGAGGAGGCGTTTCCTGCCTTTGCTCTCAACGGAGCAGAGGCAACCTGCGCCGAGGGAGAGGCGGGGAATCTGGCACCGAGGAGCTGCCGGCGAGAGGGAGGGAGAGGCGGTCCCGGAGCGGCTCGGGCCCCTTCTGCCTCGCCTGGTCGGCAGCGGCCCCTGTCGTCCGCAGGGCAGGAGTTTGCCGGGAAGGCACATGGGCGGCCTATAGATAATAAACATTAATTTCCGATGCCCAGAGAGGATGGTCAGAAGGCACCTTGAGGATCAGGAGCAGTGCCGGATTTACTTATAAACTAAACAGGGGCCCCCCCCAAAAAATAAAGGGGAAAAACCCTGGATGTACATTTCCAAAATATAAGATAAAAAACAAATAAAATAAAACCTACATACAGCGTTTTGGGTTGTGTAGGCTCATATTTGTTTTGTGCAAATGGCTTTAGATACGGATTGTTGTTTAGTCGTGTTCGACTCTTCGTGACCCCATGGACCAGAGCGCGCCAAGCACTCCTGTCTTCCACTGCCTCCCGCAGTTTGGTCAAACTCATGCTGGTAGCTTCGAGAACACTGTCCAACCATCTCATCCTCTGCCGTCCCCTTCTCCTTGTGCCCTCCATCTTTCCCAACATCAGGGTCTTTTCCAAGGCGTCTTCTCTTCTCATGAGGTGGCCAAAGTATTGGAGCCTCAGCTTCACGATCTGTCCTTCCAGTGAGCACTCATAGATACCTATTGGGTCCATAAATTACCATATAACATATATTCAACACAAAAAATAGTGACAAATTTGTTGTTAACAAAAGACAGCAGGGCATATAAAGGGCACCATTACCTTCAGTAGCTTAGGGCCTCATCAAACCTAAATCCCGCCCTGATCAGGAGTCCAACCCCACTGCAGTGAAAGAGTATGCAGCTGTCCCATGGGGCGGGGATTGAACCAGAGCAGTGCATGGAAACGCTGTTTGCCTTCCCACCAGAGCGGTGCTTATTTATCTACTTGCACTTTGACGTGGTTTTGAACTACTAGGTGGGCAGGAGCAGGAACCGAGCAACTGGAGCTCACCCCGTCACGGGGATTCGAACTGCCGACCTTCTGATTGACAAGCCCTAGGCTCTGTGGTTTTGACATTTCACTAATTCAGGTTTATACATTTCACTAATTTTGCAATCAAAGCTTGACTTCCTTCCCCCTCTTTCTGCTTCTCCTTAAATTTATTTTCAATTTCTTCTGAATATCTAGATTAACTTAATTTGCTCATTTATTCATCTACTTTAAATATATATATAGCTGCAGATTATTACAATAATCTTGCCAATGGTCTTATCTGTTTACAATTTATCTGTCAATATTCAATAAACCATTTCCATTTGTTTATAAAAAGTTTTTTATCTTGATATCTTATTCTTTCTTTTTTAAAAAAAACTCCACATTTATTTATTTGGGTTTTTTAATTGAAATTTTACAGTCACAAACATACAACATAAAGACAAAATTCCAAAGAATCTCTAGGACTGCCCAGCTCCCCTTTGTGGGTCCTATTATTAATCATTTCCTCCTGCATCTTTTATAATAATCCAAATCTTTTACATCTCAATTATATCCCAAATTCACCATTAAACTACAAGTGAGATTTTTCATATGTCCAAAATCATGCTGCAACAGCACAATGCACCATATTCAATTGTTCTGTTTTAGATGCAGAACTTCTACCCTCATACACAACTTGGAGGTATTTTAAGTATATCGTAATTCCAACTGCTTCTGAATTTGCTTCTTTGAGCTGCACCTTTTCCCCGCTGCTACAGTGGCCTCTAGTGGCAAATGAGAGAGTTGCTTTTGCGCAGCCTTCCAACTGAATTCTTTTTAAAGCCATTCTGCACGTTATAATTAGACAAAGCTGTGTTATAGGATGTTTGGCCGTCGTGATACTCGGAAAAACTGCTTGAGCATTTTATTGGACTACTTATGGTGCAAAATAAGCATAGTTATGTGAAATTAAATTTCACTTAGATCACCAGAAGCAAAGTTCAGTTGAGATTAAAAATCAATCAAATACAGCCATCACAAGGCTGCAGTATACTTACTTGGAAGTAAGTTCCGCTGAACTCAGTAGGGTTTGTGTCTGAGTAAACCTGCTTCAGAAAAAGATTTCTTTTTTTATAAATTTTTATTGGTTTTACAGTTTAATTTTATATTCACACATCAAATAGAATCAAAAAGTGTAGAATTCTCTGAAATCCTGGACTTCCTTCCTCCCCTCCGTGGAGTCTGCTAGTAACCATTTTCCAATGCATATCATATCGTCCTATATTTATCCCTAAAATACTTTATATCCATGGTTCTTTTCAGAAAAAAAAATTCAATTCCCACTGATTTCAACAGAATGTGCACATGCTCTCCGTAATGGATTGCACTTAGGTTTCCATGGATTGCATCTGCCGTGGTGAAATCAGTGGAAATCATGGGAAAATTACAATGTGTTTAATAAGGTAGCTGTTCAAAAATATCTGTCCTTGATGAAATTGCTCCCATGATGAATTCAACTGCTGTGGTCACATATTTACAATCTATTGGTTAGGAAAGAATGTTGGGGTTTGTGTGTTGGAGTTAGGTGCAATGAAGGTGCAATCAAAATTTGGAATGGAAAAATAGATCTCTACTGTTTTGTCTATGAAAGAACATAAGAACCTATGCAAGAACCTTGTGAGGCAGGTCTTCTACTTTGGCGATCACTCATAACCGCGTAAGTTTGTCATTCCATAAACACAGTTTTAGCCTTAACAGTGAGTCTGTAAGTGACTGTGGAGGCCAATTCTGGATCTGCACATCCTTCCACAGTGGGGACATAGGTTTCCAGGGGGGAGTTCATCATGGTGAGGGTTTGCCAAGCGTGTCTTCCTCTTAGAACATTTCTCCCTTTCATCCTGAGTTCAAGCATCTTCAAAGCCCATGACACCTTTGGTAAGCACTGGAGTGCTCACAGGCCAGTGTTTCCCAGTTGTCGGTGTTTATACTACATTTTTAAAGATTTGCCTTCAGAGAGTCTTTAACCCTCTTTTGTTGACTACCAGCATTATGCTTTCCATTTCTTTCCATTTCTAAGTTTGGAATAGAGTACAGTGGTACCTTGGGTTACATACGCTTCAGGTTACATACGCTTCAGGTTACAGACTCAGCTAACCCAGAAATGTACCTCGAGTTAAGAACTTTGCTTCAGAATGAGAACAGAAATCATGCTCCGGCGGCATGGCGGCAGCAGGAGGCCCCGTTAGCTAAAAGACAAAAATTAAATACTATCACAAACTTAGAAGTGGAAGGAAAGAATATACATAACCCAATTGAGATTAGAGACTGTTTCCAGAGGTATTATAAACAATTATACACACAAGGGCCACAGAAAGAAATGGACATAGACAAATTTTTGAAGACAAATGGACTACAAAAATCTCCCAAGAAAGCAAATTAATGTTGAACTATAAAATATCTGAACAGGAAGTAGAAGGTGCCATTCAAAATATGCAATTGGGCAAATCTCCAGGACCGGATGGGCTGACTTCTAGATATTATAGATCTTTGAAAGAGTGGCTATTACAACCTTTGAAGGAAGTCTGTAATGAAATATTGGAAGGAAAAGGGCACCAGAGTCGTGGAAAGAGGCGTACATTACACTTATACCGAAAACAGAGACTGAAAAGACTCAGCTTAAGAACTACCGCCCTATATCGTTACTTAATGTGGATTACAAAATTTTTGCAGACATTTTGGCCAAGAGATTGAAAAAAGTATTGATGGAAGAGATCCATAAAGACCAAGCGGGCTTTCTCCCAGGAAGACACTTGTCTGATAATTTGAGAAATATAATTGATATTTTGGAAAAACTAGAAGTGAATATAAACACTAAAGCAGTTCTGATATTTGTGGACGCGGAGAAAGCCTTTGACAACATCTCTTGGAGCTTCATGAAGAAGAACCTACAGGGGATGGGGGTAGGCCAAGGTTTTGAAAATGGTATAGGTGCAATATACTCTGAACAAAAGGCTAAATTAATTGTAAATAATGTGGTGACGGAAGAATTTAAGATAGAAAAAGGGACACGACAGGGGTGCCCAATCTCCCCACTGCTTTTTATATCGGTCCTGGAGGTTCTGCTGAATATGATTAGAAGGGACCGGTTGGTTAAAGGTATACAGGTCGGAGCCAAACAGTACAAACTGAGAGCATTTGCAGATGACTTAGTATTGACGTTACAGGAGCCAGAATCTAGTACTAAAAGGGTTTTAGAACTAATTCAAGAATTTGGTCAACTGGCAGGATTTAAACTGAACAAGTTAAAAACTAAGGTTTTAGAGAAAAATTTAACACTGATTGAAAGAGAGAGGTTTCAGAATGAGACAGGCCTGACTGTGGTTAAGAAAGTGAAATACCTGGGGATTAACATGACAGCCAAAAATGGGAACTTATTTAAAGATAATTATGAAAAATGTTGGACGGAAGTGAAAAAAGATTTAGAAATCTGGTCAAATTTGAAGCTTTCATTGTTGGGTCGTATTGCTGTGACAAAAATGAATGTATTGCCTAGAATGCTGTTTTTGTTTCAAACATTGCAAATTGTGGACAAGATGGACTGTTTCAAGAAGTGGCAGAGAGATATTTCTAGATTTGTCTGGCAGGGCAAGAAGCCCAGAATAAAATTTAAGATATTAACTGATGCAAAGGAAAGGGGTGGATTTGCCCTGCCAGACTTTAAACTTTACTATGAATCAGCAGCTTTTTGCTGGTTGAAAGAATGGCTACTTCTTGAAAACACAGACATTTTGGACTTAGAAGGTTTTAACAATGTATTTGGATGGCATGCATATCTGTGGTATGACAAGGTCAAAGCGCATAAAGCATTTAAAAACCATATTGTCAGGAAAGCACTGTTTAATGTTTGGATAAGATATAAGGATTTGTTGGAAAACAAAACTCCAAGGTGGCTGTCACCGATGGAAGCGAAAGCTCTGAAAAGGCTCAATATGGAGGCCAATTGACCGAAATATTGGGAAATTTTGGAACAAGATGGAGATAGACTGAAACTGCAGAGTTTTGAGAAACTAAAAATAAAGTGCGAGACTGGCTTCATTATTATCAGATAATGGAGGCATATAATTTGGACAAGAAAATTGGCTTCCAGGTGGAAAAATCAAAATTAGAAACAGAACTGTTAGAACCCAAAACTAAGAATTTGTCAAGAATGTATAACTTGCTGTTGAAATGGAATACTCAGGATGAAACGGTGAAATCTGCTATGATTAAATGGGCACAAGATGTTGAACATAATATTATGTTTGCTGACTGGGAACAGTTATGGACCACAGGTATGAAGTTTACAGCATGTAATGTCCTAAGAGAGAATATTATGAAAATGATATACAGGTGGTACATGACCCCAGTCAAGCTTGCAAAAATCTATCATTTGCCCAACAATAAATGCTGGAAATGTAAAGAAACTGAAGGTACATTCTTTCACCTTTGGTGGACGTGCCCAAGGATTAAGGCCTTCTGGGAAATGATATATAATGAACTGAAAAAGGTATTTAAACATACCTTTATGAAGAAACCAGAGGCCTTTCTCCTGGGCATAGTCGGCCAATTGGTGCCAAAGAAGGACAGAACTTTTTTTATGTATGCCACAACAGCAGCAAGAATACTCATTGCAAAATATTGGAAGACACAAGATTTACCCACTCTGGAAGAATGGCAGATGAAGGTGATAGACTATATGGAACTGGCAGAAATGACTGGCAGAATCTGAGACCAGGCAGAAGAGTCGGTGGAAGAAGATTGGAAGAAATTCAAAGATTATCTACAGAAATATTGTAAAATTAATGAATGTTAGAATGATGTTGGATAGTAATTAAGTGGTTTCCAGCTGTAATGCTTTAAGGGAATATGAAAAAAAGGGTTATAAATAGGTAAAAATTTAATATTATTACTTTTAAAGGATTTGCTGAACCAACAGATTGAAGTGGAATAAAAAAAAGGGAGGTATGAGGAGGTCCGGGAAATAAGTCAAAGGAAAATAAGTAATGGAAAATCTGTGTGTTTTTAACTATTTTTATTTTGTATTTTTGTCATTTTTTTCCCTCCTTTTTTTCATTTTTATTGTAATATTTTAAAAAATCTTAATAAATATCTTATGGAAAAAAAAAAGAACTTTGCTTCAGGATGAGAACAGAAATCGTGCTCCGGCGGCGCGGCAGCAGCAGGAGGCCCCGTTAGCTAAAGTGGTCTTAAGGTTAAGAACAGTTTCAGGTTAAGAATGGACCTCCGGAACAAATTAAGTACTTAACCCGAGGTACCACTGTAGTTGCTTTGGAAGACGATAATCAGGCATCCGAACAACACAACCAGTCCAACAAAGTTGATTTTGAAGAATCATTGCTTCGACACTGGTGATCTTTGCTTCTTCCAGTACACTGGCATTAGTTCGCTCGTCTTCCCAAGTGATGTGTAAAAATTTTCAGAGACACCGTTGATGGAATATTTCGAGGGGTTGGAGATGGCATTTATAAGTAGCCTATGTTTCACAAGGGACGCGGGTGGCGCTGTGGGTTAAACCACAGAGCCTAGGGCTTGCTGATCAGAAGGTTGGCGGTTCGAATCCCTGCGACAGGGTGAGCTCCCGTTGCTCAGTCCCAGCTCCTGCCAACCTAGCAGTTCAAAAGCACGTCAAAGTGCAAGTAGATAAATAGGTACAGCTCTGGCGGGAAAGTAAACGGCCAGAAGTGGCTTAGTCAAGCTGGCCACATGACCCGGAAGCTGTACGCTGGCTCCCTCGGCCAATAAAGCGAGATGAGCGCTGCAACCCCAGAGTCGGTCACGACTGGACCTAATGGTCAAGGGTCCCTTTACCTTTACCTTTACCTTTATGTTTCACAAGCATGCAGTAAGGTTGGTAGTACAATAGCTTTGTAAACAAGCATTTTGGTTTTCCTGCGAATGTCCCGGTGAGGCAGGTAAGGTGATAGGCGGTAACTGGCCCAAGATCACCCAGTTAACTTCTTGGCTGAGCAGGGCTTGCAAGAGAAGGACTTTAGCAGGATGCAAGAAGCATACTTTCTCTCCTGTTTGTTTCTAAGAAGGAATAGCTCCACGCTTCATCTGTATGAAGAACCAAGCACTAATCTTATCGCTGTTTTTGGAAATGGCTCTGCAAAATTCCTCCCACTGACTTGTATTGTTTGAAAGCCAGGAAGAGTTTTCTCAACGGCTGACAGCCCTTATGCCAAGATTTTTTGTGCGAGACATCTTGGCAGCACACCAGCCAGCCTTGTACCTGAAAAGAAACAAGTTGCGACTCTCCTGCTGTAAATTTTATTCACCCAATAGCACGGCTGCTGTTTTTAAAAACTGCACAGGCGAAGGCTATCATTGGCTGTAATTAACTTATTTATGTCTTTAAACCTGATGACATTCTTCTAAGCTGAATGTACCCTCAGGAGGCCCTCTCCACCCTGCATTAGCATTACCTGTGAATTTTCCACACTCTAAACATGAAGGTCAACACCCCGCCTCCCCATATATCAGTGGGGGAATACACAAGTTAAAACTTGCATTGAAACAAAAGCATTAATTAAACAGAGACAATAAGCAACTCTGAAGCGCGGTCTCAGTCTCTGCTACTGGGGAAGCATGATTTATTCATTCTCTGAGTAGATTTGAGTAAGGAATATATCTAAACATCATGCTAATGACATTTAAAACTTAAAAGAGAATGCTTAGCAGGGCTTAATTTAGCTGCAAGCAGTCTGGCTTATATCTATGCTCAGACTATCGCCTCACAATTCATGTTTGTTTAATTGTCTGGATCTCTTGAAAGGCTGATTCCAATTAATCCAGCCATGTTCTCTTCCCAGAATTGCCTCTCATCTAGATAGACACTTCACAGAGGCTGCCCTGGAGTTCTTTTGCAGGAAAAATAAGCCCCTGAATCAGATTTTGTAGCCCGCACATTGGCGCTTTAATGTATGAACAAATGTTGTAAAGAAACTTACAAGATACAGTACATTGTGCAGCTGTCAGATTTATGCATGCAAGTGTGTATACCTTGCCATTTCTGTTCAATCCCTCATTGGCAGCACAAAGTGGTCTTATTTTGTTTCTGTGGTTCATTGCACAAAATCTTGTTCATTTCCTTTTCCTTTGTGCTATCAATGTCTGCAGCAATTATTTATTTACATTTGCATCTCACCCTTCCTCCAACAAGTGCAGAGTGGGCTCCACATTTTTTTTTTCCGTTTTATCATCAAAAAACTCATGAGCTAAGCTGAGAAATGGAGACTGATCAGCCTAATATCATGCAGGGAGAAGCCCCTCACTCACAACCTACAACTCTATTATCACACTGTCTTTCTCAGGGCAACTCCAGCCTGCTGGTATTTTTGAACGGGATCCAGCTACATACCGGCAAGTTCAGATTGCGCAAGTTGATTTTGAGGTCATGTGCAATAAACCTGCTTTCTCAGAAGACCTGACCTTTCGTGATAGAGAAGTACTCCAGAAAGTGTGGGATAATGTTTTTGTGTAATATCACAAGCAAATCGGAACAAATGCTCAATAAATAGCCAGTGTGATCTAGCCTCCCTGAAAACAAATCAGGATGAATGCTCAATAAATTGGTCATTTGGAAGTGACCTTAGCCAACGAATGACCGTTAGGTGGGATGGAGCTATGCCCAATAAAACTTGCTTTAGATGATGTTTTGGGTGGCTTTGCTCATGCCAGGGATCTTCCTGATTGATGTCCTTATTTAGGGGAAGAAAATATCCTGTCTTGTCCCCCTGTGGTCTGATTCGCAAGAGATCCTTGGGATTTATTGCTTTCCCTCTTTATACATACATACATACAGACATACTTACTTGTATGCCACCTTCACACAGTTCAAACCATGATCAAGGTGGCTTACTACATGATAAAAATATATATCAAAAGTTAGTTATAAACAATAAATGAAACATTAAAAAAGACAAAACTTAAACTGAACAATTTCCACATAAATCACAACAAAATCTAAAAAATAATAATGCCAAAAAACCAACAGCAACAATCACCTCCCCCAGTCCAACAGCCCCCGCCAAAGAGTCTGTTCAGCAGCCTCCACTTTTGTAGCTGGAGTCAATCAGGAGCTCCACATTCCCAGGCCAGGTGGAAAAGGCCTGCAAGGCAAAACCAGGTTAGGCACCAAAGGCTTATTTTGTGGGGTGCCGTGAAACATGGTTTGTTCACCGTCAAATGATGCAAGGGGACTTTTCCATGTGTTTCGCGCCGCTTTGGAGTGAATCTGAGGACATCGGGTTTTCGGGTTAGGGCACTGAAGGCTCATTTTCTGGGGCGTCGTGAAATGTTAGGTTTTGACTGCCAGACATTGCAGGGGGCATTTTGCCACTGCTTTGTGCTGCTATGGATTCAATCAGATGATGTCGGCTTTTTGGCGAAACCATGACCCTGTGTGTTAGGGGGCCTCTGGCTCATTTTATGGCTTATCATGAAACATGGGGTTTGCACCGTCAAATGTTGCAGGGGTCCTTTGCCAGTGTTTGGCACCGTTTTCAAGATAATCAGATGATGCCAGGTTTTTGGCAAAACTGTGACTCTGGCTCATTTTCTGTGGCGTCGTGAAACATGGGGGTTTTACTGCCAGACGTTTCAGAGGGTCTTTTGCAAGTGTTTGGCGCTGCTTTGGAGTGAATCCGACGACATCGAGTTTTTGGCGAAACCGTGACCCCACGGGTTAGGGCGCCGAAGGCTCATTTTGTGGGCAGCAGATTTAGCTCATTCACACAATCCTTGGGGTCATATAACATTTTTTTGTTTCTTGGGGTACTGTATGTGGCATTCACATTAGCCATTACTCAGAGTAGATTCACTTAAGTTGTTGTTGTTGTTTTGTCGTTTAGTCGTGTCTGACTCTATGTGACCCCAGGGACCAGAGCACGCCAGGCACTCCTGTCTTCCACTGCCTCCCGCAGTTTGGTCAAGCTCATGCTGGTAGCTTCGAGATCACTGTCCAACCATCTCGTCCTCTGTCGTCCCCTTCTCCTTGTGCCCTCCATCTTTCCCAACATCAGGGTCTTTTCCAGGGAATCTTCTCTTCTCATGAGGTGGCTAAAGTATTGGAGTCTCAGCTTCAGGATCTGTCCTTCCAGTGATCTTAAGTAAACAGGTCTTTATTTAATCATGACAAACTTAAGTCCATTGATTTCAGCAAGTCTGTGCTGAGCATGACTTGGTTTGGGGGCTGGGTGATTCTATACACACGTACCTCAGAGTCATCCCCACTGAATCCATCCCCACTGTTCGTTTTCAATCCTATACCTATTTATCTGGGCCTAGGCATAAATCCCATTTGACTCCGTGGGATTGACTCCTGAGCAGACATGCATACGATTATAGTGTTACTGTGTCCAGCTTCACTAAGTTATTTATTTAAATCATTTATAGCCTGCCCATTACAGCACCAAAAATGTACTCTAGTTGGACATAACAGTCTCATAAACTTTTAAACACCATATAAGGGAGGAAGGAGCATCTTGAAGATAAATGTGGGTAGGTCATTATAACATTGTGCAAAAATGCATGTGAGTTAATGCACATTTGTTTTAGCTCTTGGATGGGGTAAGCGATCTCTTCCACGGGAACAGCTTCAGCACAAATAAATAATTAGGAGATTCAAAAGAGCACAGCTGGACTGATTTAGAGATGCTTTATTAGTAGTAAGAGCCTTATGCATTTTTGGAGGTGGGCTGCATCTGTGCAGCAAAGTTGAATGAGAAGTCAAAGAAGAACATTTGAAAAGCACCATTGAGTACCACCCTGGAGAAAGCAGCATTGGGGACCATTTAAAGAATGGAAATTCGGCCACCATGTGCATTCCAGCCCCTCCAATACCCACCCTGGGTGCTGAATGCCAACAGGAATGAAGCAAAAGCAGGCTCACTGAGGTCACTTCCAGGCAACTTGTTTATTGAGCCTTCGTCCTAGTTTGCTTGCAGGGATATTAGATGACACTAGCTATTCAACGAACATTTGTTGCGATTGGTTTAACTTTGCACGGGTTTCTTTGCGCTCCCCCCAAGTTCATTTTTCCCTTGCTTCCCTTATTACAAAAAGTCCAATGTTTTGGGGAAGGGGGTGGGAAGGGGTTTTGCTGCACAAGACCTGCAAATCAGCTTAAATTACGCAAGCTGAATTTAACAGTGTGTGATTGAATCCCCCCCCCCCCCGACAGTTGCCCAGCAGTCTGGGAGAAACAAGAAGGAGGTACTGGCATGTTTTGGGAAACTCCAAATGTTACAGAACTAACTTTAAATTAAGAAAAATAACTAATTAAGTATCTCCCTGATACCGATCATGCCCGGTAGACATGGAAAGTTTGCTTATTCATTCAGAGCATTTATACCACGCTCATTAGCTGGAAAAACTCCCTGAGGGGTTGAATGTGGGGGGTGGAAGGGGAAACTCAGTGAACAGGGAGCAGTATGGCCTACCTGAGCCCCATGCAGCTTATAATAACAAATAATTTGATTATATATAACGGTTTTAAGTTTGTTGATTTTATTTATAGATGTTAACTTCATTTTAATGTATTTTTTTGTACTTTTCCTGAATAGTTTAGATTGCCCCTTATAAACCACTTAGATGGTTTTTGTTGTTGGCGTCTGTCTGTCTTGAGAGACAATGGAGTGAGCCTCTGGGGGTGAAGTCAAACAGCAGCGTAAGCAGCACCGAAGTGACCTCTCCGGGGTCCGAGCCTCGGCAGTGTGTAATGGATGTCCTTGGCTGCCCAGACAACAAGACCTTCCCTGTTGACCTCGTTGATATGGTCCAAAGGGGAGCAGAGCAATAGGTTTGGCTCCAGCTGGGCTGCTGGAAGGAGGCAACTGCCACCCAACTGTCTTATGCAGCCATAGGCAAACTTGGCCCTCCATATGTTTTGGGACTACAATTCCCATCATCCCTGACCACTGGTTAGCTAGGGATCATGGGAGTTGTAGGCCAAAAACATCTGGAGGGCCGAGTTTGCCTGTGCCTGGTCTTAGGGCTATACTCCTTAGCCTTGCCTTCTCCCAAAGATATCCCACAAGGCAGTGGAGGTTTAGGACCAGAGTTTTCCTTCTCATAGATGGACTACCTTCATCCCCACCCACACACACCAAATTTGTTAAGCAAAATAACTGCCATCCTGAACAGGAGTACTCTGTTAAACAGTGACCTCATGCTGCAACATGGTGTTGTGGGTACCACTGGTAAGCCCTTAGCAAGGAATTAACTCCCTGCCATGTGGAGAGGAGAATGTTAACAATTCCCCAGTTAGATTTCTAATTGGGGGCAGCAGTGTGACAACCTTCTTTTCATCAGGTCATTGACAATTGCTCCTGAATGTCCTTTCATTTGTTCACCTAGCATTTACGGACCACCATTCATACCAAGTGAAATATACTCGGAGTCGAGTGTGAATTTCATGCCCTTTATTCAGCTCGTAGTAGCAATGAATGAAACTTTCCCCAAAACGTCTAGCTATATATATACGTTATTTACACAATGGGCCCCGCATGATTGGCTAATTCCGGGCTGCTCCTGTAGGCCAATCAGGTTGCTGATTCACTTCATCCAGGAGCCTGATTGGCTGCTCCTGCAGGCCAATCAGGTCACTGATTTACTTCCACCTGGAGCTGGATTGGGTGGCTCCTGCGGACCAATCAGACTGCTGCATTCTGGATCCTATTGTTGTAGGATTCAGCTCAGTACATAACACCAAGGTTGCGGTATGGTCTGGCTCATGGTTGGTGATGTTGTTGTGAACTGCGCTGAGTTGTTTTGCAAATAAAGGGCAGTGTGTGTGTGTGAGAGAGAGAGAGAGAGAGAGAGGGAGAGAGAGACTTCATAGTCCATTACAGAGGAGAAATTTATTAAATGATCACTTCTGCAATGGCACTCAGCAGATTGTTAATGTGCCTGTAGGCCACACTTTGTCAGGGACTGTGTAGAGGAGGAATGGTGGAGACCGCCTCCCCAGCTTGACCATTCCACGGAGGAGTAAGAGGTTGAGATTTACAACAGGGGTTTGTGGGAGGTCATAGCACAGAGGCAGAGGAGGGGGAAAGTTGGAAAATAATGGTAGAGGAGGAGGACGCAGCACCAGGAAGGCGACAGCTGATGGACACAGTGTCTTTAGAAAGCATTCCAGACCCTCCATCTCCCAGCATCTGGCGTGTCTTAAAAGTAGGAGAGCAAATAGCTCAAAGGCAGAGGGCACTTAGCTGCACCCATAGAAGTGACAAATGAAGAAGTGGGGGAGACGGGTGAATTAGACAGAGGCTGCATACTTCTTGCCTTTTTATAAATGGGGTCCCTGCTTCACACCTGCTCTCTGCCAACAATCCTTTGCGCTTCTAATCCTTTGCACTAACAGTTCAAAGTCGCATTTCAGCTGGCTTAATATCTTTGTTGAAGCTCACTGTTTTACAAGCTGGGCCCATGCAGTAAGAAATAATTGTAGTTTCTGTGTCACCTTCAAAGGTAGCGCTCTATATGGGGCTACCTTTGAAGGTGACCCGGAAACTACAATTAATCCAGAACGAGGCAGCTAGACTGGTGACTGGGAGTGGCCGCTGAGACTATATAACACCAGTCCTGAAAGACCTGAGCACAATTCAAAGTGTTGGTGCTGACCTTTAAAGCCCTAAACGGCCTCGGCCCAGTATACCTGAAGGAGTGTCTCCACCCCCATCATTCAGCCCGAACGCTGAGGTCCAGCTCTGAGGGCCTTCTGGCGGTTCCCTCATGCGAGAAGTGAGGTTACAGGGAACCAGGCAGAGGGCCTTCTCGGTTGTGGCAACTGCCCTGTGGAATGCCCTCCCATCAGATGTCAAGGAAATAAACAATTATCTGACTTTTAGAAGACGTCTGAAGGCAGCCCTGTTTAGGGAAGTTTTTAATATTTGATGTTTTATTGTGTTTTTAATCTGTTGGGAGCCGCCCAGAGTGGTTGGGGAAACCCAGCCAGATGGGCAGGGTATACATTAATAATAATAATAATAATAATAATAATAATAATAATAATAATTGCCACAGAGTTCAAGAGCACTTACTCCCAGAAAACGATTAAAAAGAATTTCAGCTGTACAATGCTAGCCAATTATGCACAGGATTGCTAAGAAACTGGGCTAGTATGTTATGCATTGCTTGCTGATGCACAGGCACCTTCTTTGGGGTTGTGGGCTCTCCCAGAAGAAACAAAACCCAGTGGGGAAGCAACTTAATTGGCTGCTAAGTGGGTTAAACGCCCTGTAGAGCTGATGGAATTATATAGTTGGTTCCATCTCCTTTGGAACAGTTGCTGATCTCTCTCTCTCCTGAATGATATGCCCCACCACCGTTGAAATATTAAGTGATCTGGTTACAGCCTTCTTGGCTACCTCCCCTCCAAACTTGTTTGCTATGAAAAGGAGAGGTTCATTTCTTGGTGAACCTTCTCCGTTTCCCAGGAGTACAGACTGAAAGGCACTGTGGCTTCAAGAAGGCAGCTAGAGTGGGAAATCGCCACATCACAGAAGGGCCGGTGCCAAAATTAATATTTACTCAGCGCTGTGAAAGATCCCCCCGGGGGAAGCAAGAGAGGGACAATGGACACTCGGACTCTTTCCACTTTCTTGTGCATACGCACGTCCAGCTTTCACTGGGATTTCTGCCAGAGTCTGAAGACCATTATTGAAGAGGCGGAAATTATCCACCAACTTTCCTCCACCCTCCCCAGCTAAATCTCTCTGCCCAAGTTCCAAAGCTGTCCTGGGCAGCCTATTGTCTATCCTTTATGTGGCATTCGGAGCCTACAATGTGCTAATTGCATTAATAGGTTGTGGAATTCGCCACTATGAGATGCTATGGTTAGGGTTTAAATGAGGTTTTTTTTACTAATTCATGGAGGACTGGCTAAACTGATAGTTACAGGGTTAAATGGAACATCCAGTGCTATTTTTCTAGAAAAAGAGATGCCGGAACTTCACCACGAACACCTCCCTTTTCTCTTATAACAGCAAACGCTCCCACCTGAGAGGTGCCGGTGAGTTCTGGCTGAAAGAAAGCCCCAAGGACATCCATTCTGAGAAGCACAGTACATTTGAATGTCAGGTGCCAGAGACCAGGATGGGGAAACTTTTTGCCCCAGTGGGCCAGATCCTTAACTGGTTCCACCCCTGTAGGCCAACTCTGACAGGTGGGTGGGACAACCCACATGTCAATCACCTGATGAGATTATGTCATCAGGTGATTGATAGTGCAAAACAGTTTTAATCGAAACTGCCGCTAAAGCAGAGGTTTTGGGGTTTTTACTCCAATTTTACTAGTGGGTTTACTTTAAGCTACCAATTATTCCTTTGTAGCCATCTCAACACCTGCCCCATACCTGATGTTGCCTTTGATGTCAGGTGTGAGGCAGGTGGTTTAGAGAATTAGTTGTGAGCACCCAAAGATCTGGCTGGCCAGTGTAGCAAACAGGAGATGGCTCCAAAGGGGATTAGATAAATTCACAGAGGACATGACTGCTCATCATAATGGCTGTATGCTTTCTCCAGAATTGGAAACAGCATGCCTCTACAAACCACTTTCATGGAACACAAGCAAGAAGGTGCTGCTATAATCTTGTGAGCTTTCCCAAAGATCTGACTGAGCAACGTGGAAAATCGGATGCTGAACTAGATGGATTCTGCTGGGCTTTCCTCAGCTGTACATCGGTATGATCCTTACATTTTATAAGTTATATCTCATTGGCTCTTGTGAAAACCTTGTGTGAGGTCACTCTTATTCCCATTACACAGGTGGAATGACTGAAAGTGATTGACTTGCCTGTGGATTTTTATTGCTGCGGTAGAGTTGTAGCTAAGTCTACCAGATGTGGATCCCTTTTGTGTATTGAACGATGTGCATGTTAGAAGCTTGAAATGTAACAAGGCCGTTCTCCTTTTCAAGTCACTTCCATTTTCCAGCTGTTTGCAGTGGGTCCCTGTGGAATGCCAGAATTTGGTGCCCCTCGCTTCTCGCTTTCCATTCTACATCATAGTTGTGGCAAGCAAAGGCAAATATAGGGATCACGACCAGTTCTGATGCACTGGGAAACTTGACCACAGAATTCTGAAGCATTCCATGTTCTAGGTAAGCAATCAGTTCACCTGGAGCATTGTTGGCGCTGCTTTATTAGTTCATGCAACATAAAATGCACACAAAAGACTCTCCTGCAAGGGGAGAAATTGGCCACAGCAATTTGCCCAGCAGTAGTGATCTTCCTAATTGAGGAACCTCTAATAAACTCTTCACAAACCCAATCCCCTGCCCCCACTGTAAGCCTGAAAACCAATGTGATAATTTATGGACCTCACCATTGTTCCACAACATATTCCTACTGTCCATAATGAGCATCATGTATTGCCTGATAATTCTTTCTCTGTGTCTGAATAAGGCTAAAATGGTCCTTCCATGTTAGTGTTTAACAACCTATGAAACGGCACTTGATGTTTCCAGAATGAGCAGTTCTTCTGGCCCTCATTCTGTTTCATAATAGCTGTTCAAACATGCTCCATTTCCTTCAAATATATGCTCTAATGTATCCAAATCTGGATTAAGTTTCAGACTGCAGGGTCTTCATCAGCAATTTTCACTTTCTGTTGTGTCAACAAAAGCAGCAATATCAACAGTTTTATGTTTTTGTTCTCTTTGCCTCTCGGATTTGCGATAAATCTTTCAGCATTCTTTGAAGCTTAGCCACACTGTTGGGAAGCTGTTTTCCCCACTCTTGCTATTTTTGCAAACATATTCTGCCCGCCTGCCTTGGAAGACTGAGTTGTCTGCTAGTGTTCCTGTACAGGAACATTCATATTCAGCAGTATCCATACTGTTTATTTTATAAGGACGCTGGATTTCTGGCCGCTTCCCACAACAGCATCCCATTGCGTAGAATGCTCGGTATTTATACAATGTTTTTCCTAAGCACGTTGCATGCATTATATTTAATCTTTATCACAACCCTATAAACTAGGCCAGTAGTATTATCCCCATATTATAGATGGCAGCTGAGTCCTAGAAAGAGAGAAAGCTAAGGCCTGCTTCACACACAACTGTTTATTTTTATATTTTAACGGGAATATATAATGGAGAAGAGAGAAACTGTGCGTGCATCATCACAATGTGTGAAAATAATTTGTTAAGATGGGCTGGCTCAATACATTTTGCTGCCTGAAGCAAAGACAAGATAGCTCCCTCCCCCAAGGCACATACAGAAGCCAGGTTGAACCTGGCAAAAGGACAGTATCTTCCACGGGACTTGAGGGCAGCAGGCTAGCATTATAATGTAACATACAGTAATTATAATATAATATAATATAATATAATATAATATAATATAATATAAATGTTTTAATTTATATCCTGCCCATCTGGCTGGGTTTCCCCAGTCACTCTGCGCGGCTTACAACATAAAGCACAACAAAAGATCAAACATTAAAAAACAAGATATCCTATACAAGCAACAAACAAACCAACAAATCAATAACACCAATAGCAACAATAGCCAGTTGCCCCAACCCAAGAGTTGTTCCAGCAATGTCCCAGTGGCCTCCCAGGAGTCTCTTTTAGCATAGGAGTGTCAGGGCAGGCCACATGGTACCCACAGCTCTGTTGCTTCCCTGCACCTCAGCATCTGCCACCTGAGGCAGCCCGCCTCACTTTGCCTCAACATAGGGCCAGCCCTGTTGTTAGGTATACTCTATAAGAAACCAGTGATATACAGTGCTGGCTTTCCAACAGGCACACCCTTGGCATAGCCGGTTTATTTGATGTCCATATCGGAGTTTGTGTATGTTAGGATGAAACGTGGCACCATGCTTTGGACAGGTTTCTCCTTCAGGCTGATTGCCATCACACACAAGTGGATTTGTCTGTGATGCTACTGAAAAAGGAAGTCATCAGTACTGATTCACTGAGAGATGCTTCAAACGTGCACTCAGGATATGGTGGTGCTCTTTTTTGTCTTCATTACTCCAATCCCCATTATGCTGGAGTGCGTAAGACCATCTTCCACATATTTGAGACTTCTCCTGGTGCCTCTTGGACAATCCTAATTTGGCTTCATAAACCAAGATATGAGCTGCAGACATACCCTATTTTTAAAGCACACAACTTTCCCCAAAGAATTCTAGGAACTGTAGTTTGTTAAGGGTGCTGGAAATTGTAGCTCAGTGAGTGGTAAAATACCAGTTCCCAGTCTTCTTTTGGGAAAGCAAAACGCTTTAAGGAATAAGCCTTGTGTGCTACCTTGCTGCTCCTTTTGCAGAAGCTGGGAAAGAAGCCAGGAAGCCTTTAGTTAACTATAGTTCCCCATTTCCCATCACATCTGAACTATGGTTAATGGCCCTCAAACAAGTCAGGATATGAAACCAACTTTAAATCCATCCATGGCATGCTTGTCCAAATGCAGCCAATGAGTCAATTCCCTCTTCGGCAGTTACAGAAATAGTAATGACCTTTCCCCGCACTCTAGTAATGAGACCAGCAAAATTATGGGCTGTAGTGTACACCTTGAGGGGACAGCAAGAGCAGAGGCTCAGGCCTTCAAATTCCTGCCATCTGCATCCGGCAAGACTACCAAACAGCCTGAGAGAATTCTGCCTTAACAAGAAAAGAAAAGAAAAGAAAAGAAAATGCTTTTTCACCTTTATTTTTCATGAAATAATTTAAATTGCAAACAGCCTTGATTGCATTGGCAGAAAGACAACTATATATGCCGCAAACAGAATAAACAGTAGGCAACATGGCGCTGTGCAGATGTTGTTGTTGGACTCCCAACGCCCCAACCATCATGGCCCAAGGTCAAGAATGGAGGAAGCTGGGAGTCCAGTCACATCCAGAGGGGACCATGTTGTCAATCTCTGATTATTCAGCATGGTACCCTCCGAATAAAAGGGACGCAGGTGGCGCTGTGGGTTAAACCACAGAGCCTAGGACTTGCCGATCAGAAGGTCAGCGGTTCGAATCCCTGTGACGGGGTGAGCTCCCGTTGCTCGGTCCCTGCTCCTGCCAACCTAGCAGTTCGAAAGCACGTCAAAGTGCAAGTAGATAAATAGGTATCACTCTGGCAGGAAGGTAAACGGCATTTCCGTGCGCTGCTCTGGTTCGTCAGAAGCAGCTTAGTCATGCTGGCCACATGACCCAGAAGCTGTATGCCAACTCCCTCGGCCAATAAAGCGAGATGAGCGCCGCAACCCCAGAGTCGGTCACGACTGGACCTAATGGTCAGGGGTCCCTTTACCTTTACCTTTACCTTTACCCTCCGAATATTTGCCTCTTCTGAGCTGAGAAATGCACAATCAACATTTGGTATCGAAAGCACTGCAAACCTATTTTCCCGTCAAACCAGTAGGGGATGATGTTATACATAGAATTACAGCTCGCTAACTCATAACTCCTAAAGGAAGGTTTCGCACAAATGGCTGGGTTCATTGGACTGTTTTGCGACCTTTATGATCAATCTGAGAACCGACCTTGTCTGAAGGAGCTGGTCTAGTGTAAAGCTCCCATGATGTTCTGGTCACGACTGCAGGACTTTTGACAATGGTAATTTAATTCCATTGTGGCTGTTTTATTGCTATTGAAGATCTGAACGGAGGGAACAGTTGCTTCTTCCGTTTTGTTCTGCTTCCATAGATGAGGTGGGGGTGGGGTAGGGGAGAGACGCTTCAAATAATATGAATGACAGCGATGAGTCAGCAGTTGTCAACAAGCTAACGCCAGGCCAATGAGGAATTGGAGCAGATTGAGTTGCAGCTGAGAATGTAGGTGACAGGAGTCATCACCTTGGAATTTAAAGGCCTGTCAACCCAGCAAATGCTTTCTAACCACAGGAGTTTCATGTTAACCTCTACTCAGCATCCGTTTAGAAGCTGCAAGCAACCTCCGGCTTTGAAACAGAGCATCTAACCGTCAGATACCGCCATTCTTTGTACTCTCACTTGACACTTGCTTCAGAGTAAAAATCCATCGGACCACACAGTTAAACATTTAAGCTGAAATCCTATATATCCACGGGAATAAGCCCCACTTAACTCAATGGGATGTATTTCTGTATGGGATCATTAGAGATGAAGAGGTGGTTTGGCATTTGACAGTTCAGAAAGGAGAACGGAACAAATCTTATTTGTTCATTCCCAATATTTAGAGACTCCCTTCTCAGCACAGGAAGCAATTTAAGGAATCAGCAACAAAACAATTCCTCCGTCAAATAATATACATGTTTAAAAGAAACAAAAACCACAGGTAGAAACATTAATTCCATAAATAGGAGTTAGAAGCTGCAAACAACCTCTTGCTTTGGTAAAAAGGAAAGCTTTTAGGAATTGTCAAACAATAGCCAAGCATTTAAACGAAAGCTTTTAATTCTGTTTCTTAAGAGTGTAGCTAATGGCAGAATTAGGCTAAAGCTGAAAATCTTTGCACATTTTCTACCCAAGAAAAATGATACTTTCTTGTACTGGGCATTTTGGTCCTCGCAGAAAACGCATCGGACTCAGAGACAGTCCTGACACCTCAAGCAATTATGATGTGAACTGCTGTGATGACAGCTGGCATTTATTTCCTTTATGTGTTCCTATTCCTGTTTTCCAATAAGAGAATCTAGGCAATACGGCTTCATTGAGAGGGAAGAAAGCAAAACTGTGCTGATGGAAAGAGTTGCTAGGCAGTCAAGACTGAGCTGCAGACAACTGGCAGCCAGGAGACAGGGTCCAGCTATTTGGGCACAAAAATTAAAGTAAAAAGTAAAAATAACATTATCCCTGAAGCTAACTCCCATTTAAATGAGCATAGGATTGCAACAGAAACTAAGATGTGGAAAATACTGAATGCATTTTATTTTTTGCATGCGGAAGAATACATTTAGCAGGGGACTAGCAAAGACCCTCCTCCATTTCATTTCCCCACATTCTTTTTTTCATTGGGTTTTATAAACAAGAATAATGTTACACAAATAAGTATACCAAGATTTCTCATGTCAATTGTATATCACAAATATAGCATAATAAATGTGGAGTAATATCTACAACATATGGTTCATTATTAGTAGTCAATGTATAAGTTCCTGGTTAATGAATTGGTTTGAACAATTAGGAAGAAAAGAGAGGGGGGAGGGGAATGGTAAGTGGAGTGGTGTCAGGTGGTTATGCTTCTGTTCTTCTACTTAGTGTATGTGTGGGGTTTTGTATCAGCGTTACTTGTATGGGTTCTCTTACTATTCACTCGTTGTGTTTCCTTGGTGGTGAGAAAGATTATGGGTAGCCTAGGGTGTGGTTGTTCATTTTTGGTTGGCTGTATTGAGAATTGTTTTTGTGTGTGAGCAGGGTGTGACTGTGTATTTTTGAATCTGGTTAGCCAGATTGATTTGTATGCTGTAGGCGGATTCTTGTTGTTGTCTTGTTGGGCTGTGTATGTGATAAAGGGGAACCATACTGGGATGAAGGCATCTTCTTCTATTTGTCCCTGTGTCAGATTATTGCATGAGTAGGCAAACTAAGGCCCGGGGGCCGGATCCGGCCCAATCACCTTCTAAATCCGGCCCGCGGATGGTCTGGGAATCAGTGTGTTTTTACATGAGTAGAGTGTGTGCTTTTAATTAAAATGGGTTATTTGTGGGGCCTGCCTGGTGTTTTTACATGAGTAGAATGTGTGCTTTTATTTAAAATGCATCTCTGGGTTATTTGTGGGGCATAGGAATTCATTCATTTCCCCCCCAATATATAGTCTTGCCACCCACAAGGTCTGAGGGACAGTGGACCGGCCCCCTGCTGAAAAAGTTTGCCGACCCCTGGTTTCTTGGTTAGTTTTTCTAATAAGGCTGTTTCCCATACCATTTGATACCATTGGCCCATGCTTACTCCTGACAGGTCTCTCCAGTGTCTGGCTAGGATGTTTCTGGCTGCTGAATTTCCCCACATTCTTGTACTATAAGGAAGATCTGGAAGATTACCTGCAACTACATTCATCTGCATAGCACAGGCATCTGATCTCTATTTATAGTGGCATGAGCACAACTGGAACTGCAGAGGTCACAAGCCGAGATGATTAATAGTCAGCAACTACTGATCCGTCAGAATGCAGTTGCACACAACCAGTTTCCAACTTTTCCCCGAAACACCCATGACTTGCTTAAGGCATCTTTTGCTTGGCTGAGTTTGGCGCCTGGTTAAGCCACCCATCGTGCTTTTTTGTGTAAATGAGTAGCAAGTGTTCTGAAGACAATGAGCCTTCCTTCCTGGCTAATCTGCTTCACTGGCATAAGTTGCCAGACACAATCATAGAAGGGACTGTGAGGGTCATCTAGTAAAATCCCCTGCAACGCAGTTGCACTTAGACGACAGAGCACTTTGATTGGCTTTAATTGTGCAAACCTAAAGTCCTGCTCTGCGCTTGAAGCCTTCCAGCTGAATAGTGGCAGTCTGCAAGCACCCATAAAGCATTCAGCTGTACTCCATGTTCTGTGCTCTGCTCAGAAGCAAGTGTACTGTTCTTTGATAAGATCCCAGCAGATATTTCCCTTCTTAATGCTATTAGGCTACATGTTTTATGGCTCTGATGGTTTTTCTTTGCACAATAAGAACCTTTTCATTGCTCAGTAAAGGAAAACGGCCGCCCTTATTCCAAGCAACCCTAGAGTGGGCAAAACACAACTTAGCTGACCGTATTCTTCAGATTTTGAAGCATGAAACGGAAAGTAAATGAGTTCAGATGTGCTTGCACCTTGAATTTCTTAGCTCATCAAAAGAAGATGGAGATTTTGTACATTTGAGGTGATGTTAGGATTCTTTGGCTGCAACGCTATGTGTGGATCAAAGCCAAAGGATCCTACCCTCGCCTGCTTATGTTGACCCGTTGCGCAGCTGCTAAAGACAATGAACAAGACACAGTGGCTGAGCGAGACATTGACTGCAGCTCATGGTTAGGAAGGAGAGAGTTTAACCTTGAGCCCAAGTTTGGAGAGCATCCTAAGCCGATCCTTGGTTTAGGTCAGGATGGGGTGGAGTGGGGTCAGTAAGAAGGATAGGGAAGGAGCAAAGCTCTCTGGGATCCTGCACATCCATGCGTTCTTGTGAACCAGTTTGGTGTACTGAGCTACGCGGACTGCATTATAGACCCTCTGTCCTTAAAAATGATGGCAACATGAAAACAAAATAAGGACGCCATACAAGAATGACTGAGTAGGTGTGCTGAATTCAGTGGCTTACTCCTAAGCAAGAGTGCAACCTTAAGACGGGTACGTTATTTGAGAGGGGGCCTGGGATGGCCAAGTACAGGCAAGTCTTCATGAGAGATTGCCTTGTGCCTTTTCTCCCCCACCCCCCTTTTTATAATTTTTATTGATTTTAAACACTTTATCAAAACAAATAAAAACATTTTAAAAAAACAAATAACAAATGACCTATATAAAAAAACAAAAAAACTCCCAAAACCAGTATATTTTTATACATAAGAGTTTCCTATTATGACTTCTGATCTCCCCATCGTGGGTTCCAAGTTTTCTATATCAACTGTATATTATTGTCTGACTTCAGTTTTTCTAAAACATCTGTAACTTATGTGACTTTGCAGGAGTCATTCTAGGCCTGCCAAAGATTTCACATGATCACAGTGTTCTTTTAAATATAATATGTATTTATCCCATTCTCTATTAAACCTTTGATATGATTGATTCCTAATTCTCCCTGCCATTTTTGCCGATTCTACATAATCTAGTAATTTTGCCTGCCATTCCATTTTTGTTCTTTGTTCCATATTCTCTCCTTTCCAACCTTTGGCTATTAATTGTTCTTGTGGCAGTGGTTGCGTACATGAATACCCTCCTCAAATCTCTCGGTATATATGTACCCATTATACGTAAGAGAAATGCTTTGTGCCTTTTCTTCCGCTCAGTCTGCCGATGCCTGTCTTCACAGGCAGGGGAAGTCCCTAACTCACTGAGGGTTTGAGACCCATCGGCCACCCTCACCAGATTTAGCTGGCCAGTCGAAGCCATTCCAGGGTGTGGCTGCTGTTGCATGCTGCAAGCTTCTAGGAGCTGCAGGTGAGAGCTGAGTGCAGGAAAGGGGAACAAAGGTGGACAAAACTCCAAAGGGAGCATGAAATATCCCCTACCAAAAAATACATACCCTGTTGTAAACAAAATCTGCCCTTTTCCCCTTATGGGGAATCCAAGAGCCCGTATAGAGTCCTTACATGGGTTCCCTATTGGTAGGAGAAAATAACAGAGGCCAACCAGAGAATATTGAGAAGCAAAGCAGCTAGTAAGCCTGACCTTTATTGATCTGTTGCAACAGAGTGCTCTCCTCACACGCACTGGAGCTCAAGACCACCCCTCCGTACACCATACATATATCACAGAAGGGGTGTAACCCAAGACCACCCCCCACAAACATCAAAAGGTGGTCTAAAACAGAAATTTAAATGTTGTTGTTTATCCTGTCTGCCAGGTTATCTGATAATGCCTTATCTGATTGCCTTTCCTGGTAGTCTGTCACCCTTTGAAATGGTGATTACTCAATTCCTGAGACAATGGGAAGGCTCCCTGACTCTCTCCCTCCTTGCAGAGAAAACATTTGGTCAGTTTGGGAGTCAAAATGGTTTCAGGTCGGTCTTCCTGTGCTGATCTATGTATGTGCTTGGTTGGTACATTTATGAACATTTATTATATATCGAAGACCTTAAAATTCTTATCACAACCCCATACACCCCATAGTTGTGTACACATTCACATGCTGTTCTCCACCCGTGTTCTCGGTCCAGGCAAGGAAGAGGCATTATCAGGCAGGCAAAACCACTCAGGGCATGGCCTGGAGAGGATTCCAAGGGCCACATACAAAGGTTGGGAGAGCCACATGCCTCTGAGGTTACAGGTGGATAGTTAGCAATTTTTTCTGTACGCCATGAGTACTTTTAGTTGGCTCGATACTGTGGCAAAATCAAAGTCCTGGGCTGGCTGGCATTTTTCTCCCTGACTGGCTCACCTGAGGTCTTCTCACTTCGCAGCTTGAGCTCTTTGAGTCTGGCTTGAAATAATAATAATAATAATAATAATAATAATAATAATAATAATAATAATTTATTATTTATACCCTGCCCATCTGGCTGAGTTTCCCCAGCCACTCTGAGCGGCTTCCAATCAAGTGTTAAAAACAATACAGCATTAAATATTAAAAACTTCCCTAAACAGGGCTGCCTTCAGATGTCTTTTAAAGATAGGATAGCTGCTTATTTCCTTCACATCTGAAGGGATGGCGTTCCACAGGGCGGGTGCCACTACCGAGAAGGCCCTCTGTCTGGTTTCCTGTAACCTCACTTCTCGCAATGAGGGAACCGCCAGAAGGCCCTCAGTGCTGGATCTCAGTGTCTGGGCTGAACGATGCCGTGAATCGGCGAGTCCTGGAAAATGTATAGATATCCTTGGCTTTCGCTTGAGTGAAGGTTTTAAGTCGATGGAGAAAGAGGAAGTTAATATTTGCCAAGGGTATCTTTGCACAACTGGGACGCCTGCCATTGTTCCTGCGAGGATGGCCATACAAAGCTCCAAAGGGTAAACAGCCAATTAAGGAGCACTAAGCAGCTCTTTGAGGGCATATCTTGTGCTAATTCATGTCACAATGAGTCCTGGTTGCTCAAGCTTATGGTCATGTTCCTGAGGAAGAAGTCTCAAGGACCCATGAAGCCTGACCAAGGACAAATAGCCACCAGGATAAATTCCCACAGGCCTTTTTTTCTACTTTGAAAATACCACTTGCTTCAAATGAGGAATAAATAAATTAGAATAAATGGCTTCAGAAATGGACCCAAACCTGAAAAACACGAAGGTGGTTTTAACATGCTCAGGACAACCCCAAGGTTTGCAGAAATATGAAAAAAATCTCTTTTGTTTTAAAGCCTAGGGCAGAAAAACTCCCCCAAACAGCCCAAGGAGGAGAACAGCCTTTACCAAAGGTGTCATGGGCTTTGAAGACACTCGAACTCAGGACGCAAGGGAGAAATGTGCTGAGAGGAAGGCACGCTTGGCAAACCCTTACCATGATCAATTCCCACCCAGAAACCTATGTCCCCACTGTGGAAGGACGTGCGGATCCAGAATTGGTCTCCACAGTCACTTATGGACTCACTGTTAAGACCATGTTTATGGAAGGCAAGCTTACTCAGCTATGAGTGATCACCAAAGAAGACATATGGTGGAATCAGATTCTGCCATGGCCTCCCTAAAAGTCACCAAAATGCCTCCTAATTTTGTTGGGGACTTTCAAAAGTATGTGTGTTTGCATGTACACGCCTTCCAACCTTTCTCTGTTGAAAATGGGGCTCTGTTGAAATAGGGTTGAAAATACTCACCCATATTTCTCCAATGAAAATAGGGACGTCCTAAGGAAAAGTGGGACATTCTGGGGTCAAATCAGAAACAGATACAGCTTCTGTAAAACTGGGACTGTCCCTGGGAAATAGGATCTGCATGTGTGGATATATGACATTGTTCTAGACTGGTCACAACTCTGAGCATCTAGATGACTAGCTGTGATGGCCTGGGATTCGGATTCGGATGCTGAACCTGAGGGATCCCAGCCTGTATAGGATTCCCCGCCTCCAGAACCAGCTGAGCCAGGGCTGGGGCATGAGCCTGAAGGGTCCTCACCTGTGCTGGATCCTCAGGTGCAGGCATCAGCTGAGTCTGCTCTGGCTCCTGAGGTGATGGAGGACCCATTGCCTGCAGGTGCTCCACTCTCAGCCCCGTCAGAGGAAGCTGAGGTTGCCTCTGGGTCCGGTAACCCTCCAGCCTCTCCTGAGCTGCAGAGGCTCAGGGCAGAGAGGCGGAGGGAACTAAGTTCCTGCAGGAGGAGTGCTCGCCTCCAGGCCAGGAGAGGCAAGTCACCAGAAGATCGGGGCCGCCCTATGCCTCAGGGCAGATAAAAGCTGGCCAGCCCCAGTCCCAGGTTGTGGGAGCAACATTGTTGGTTGCTAGTTCCTGCCTGAACCCTGTCCCGCTTTTCTGCCAGAGCTCCTGGCCTGCCCTGGCTCCCTGCTTGCATGCCTGTTCCTGACTTCACCTGACTCCCTGCCCTGCACCCAGCTTCAGCTACTGCGGACTGCCACCGCGTTGCACCTTTGACCATGGACCGGACTTGGACCTCGCCTTTTGGGTAACCCACGGGACCAGCACACTAGCTCCAAGCCAGCCATCATATGCTTGTTCATATAAATGGCGTCGGTCCTGTATACCTGAAGGAGCGTCTCCACCCCCATCGTTCAGCCCGGACACTGAGATCCAGCGCCGAGGGCCTTCTGGCGGTTCCCTCATTGCGAGAAGCCAAGTTACAGGGAACCAGGCAGAGGGCCTTCTCGGTAGTGGCGCCCACCCTGTGGAACACCCTCCCTTCAGATGTGAAGGAAATAAGCAGCTATCCTATCTTTAAAAGACATCTGAAGGCAGCCCTGTTCAGGGAAGTTTTTAATATTTAATGCTGTATTGTTTTTAACACTTGATTGGGAGCCGCCCAGAATGGCTGGGGAAACTCAGCCAGATGGGCGGGGTATAAATAATAAATTATTATTATTATTATTATTGTGCTGCTCTTGAAGGGAAGAAAAAGTTGCTCTGAATTGAGAACAAACCTGCATCACTTCCTGCCTTTTGGGGTATCTCTGGGCCAGCCATAGGAAAATATAATAGCTGGATTTCTCTCAATCTTTCAGGCCAGCATCTCCCAATATATCATATTATCCTCCACATCGTGGGGTGGGGAGCAGAATACTGATTTATTAGGTGCTTGTGCTACTCTTCTGGATAAGCAGAAATGACTGCACACCTGGAACATGACCTGACTTTCCTCATCTGCCTGGGCCAGGTGTAGGAAAATAATATCGCTGGTTTTCATTTGCTCATCGGAAAATAAATACATGAAGTGATATATTAGCTGTGTGTGTCACTTACGGTAGGCAGAAATTTGAATAACGCCAGTGATGATGCTCCTTTAGTCTCTGGGCCTGGCATGGGAGTGCATTTGCACAGTTAAATCTAGTGTGCAAGCTGTGCTTGCGCCTGGAGGCGTCTTAATTTGCCACAGCGACACGCCTTAGATCCAACCCTTCTGGATTACTATAAGGCGCTCTGTGTGGGTCTGCCTTTGAAAAGTGCTCAGGAACTTCGACTGGCTCAAAGAACTGCAGCCAGATTGATGACCGGGGCTGGTTATAGAGAGCATACAACTCCCTGCTGAAGCAGCTCCACTGCCCTGTAAAACCAGATATGGCTTAGGTCCAAGATAACTGAAAGACCGTATTCCCTCATACAAACCTGCCTGGGTTGTGAGATCTTCAGCAGAGGCCCTTCTCTTAGTCCTGCCCCCCTCACAGGCATGCTTTTTTGGGATGCAATGGAGGGTCTTCTCGGTGGTGGCTCCCAGGCTTTGGAACTCCCTCCCTGGAG